AAGTACTCTGGCGAGCGCCAGATGTACAGAATTTGCTCTTGCTCGACTAATAAGGGTTGACCGTGCAAAAGACTGCAGGTGAAACCCTCGACAAGTGAATGAAGAAAAAAAAATGTAAATGAATGTGCAAAAAGGGGTTCCAACGGTGAAATGAAGTGAAAGAGCACTCCGGTACAACGAGTCCTTGGTTGTGAATGGTGTGAGTCCCTTTATCCATGAACTGCCTGTCTTACTTCCACTTCTTCTCATGATCCTGGCTTGAGTCTAGTACTCGCATTGAGAGAGATAGGGGACGTCTTAAAAGACCAGTTGACTTCGTAAGCTGCTATATGATCTAGGAAATCCTCTACCGACGATCGGGGTTGTTTGTTGCTATAGAGGTATGGAGAGTTGCATTGGTTTGAGTTAGGTTTGCTTGGGGACAAGCAAACGGTTAAGTGTTGGGGAGTTTGATAGACCATTGATTGCACATGTTTTACCGCTATTCTTGAGTCGTTTGATATGTTGATTCTCGTGTTTTAGGCCGATTTCACGCTAGGTTGTTCTTGTTTGTGATATTTCAGGTCCTAGTACGTGAATGAAGGCTTGGGAACGAGTTCGGGGTCGATTGGACGAAGATTGGACGTTTGGCGAGAAGCTGAGAAACTCACACGCGTACGCCTAAAATCCCACACAGCCGTGTGACTTGGCCGTGTGGCACCACTTTGCACAGGCAAGTCACACTGGACGTGTAAGGGACCCCTTGTGGCCGTGTGGAAAGTCCAGGGAGCTCACACGGCCAGCCTGGAAATCCACACGGCCGTGTGTCCCTGACCGTGCAGCATGCCTGAAAGCCCACTAATCGAAACATCGCGTTTTAACATCCACACAGGCAGACTGGAAGGCCACACGACCGTGTGGCCGAGAAGTTCTGGGTTTTCACCCAATTTCGAGCCAAAGGAGGGGGAACCGAGTTTTAGAGAGACAAAGCGTATACCGAGAGAGAGAGAGAGAAAGTGACGAACCTGATTCTTCAAGTGGCTTAGATCGATCTCCATCACCATTGGAGCCCGGCTTGAGCTTGGAGAAGAGCTGATTGAGTGCCAAAAGAAGAATCTCATCCTTCATAGTATGGTTTCCGCATCTAAGCTAGATTTCTCATCTCTCTCTATGGAGTTACTTTCTTATTCACCTAGGTATGAAGAACCATAGATTTGTATGTTAGGTCTGATTGTATGAACCCAAATACAGATTCAGTGATATGATTATATTCTTGAGGTTTAATTTGTTGAATGGCATGAATCCTGATCAAATTCCAGTTATTCCTGCTTTGACCTAGAAAGAGAATATCTGCCTAGGTTGATAGAGCACCCTTGATTGAAGGTAGGGAATTGACGACTTTAGTCGAGGAGTCAATTCACTATTCTGTACCGGATTTACTTCGGTAGTGGAGGTTTGGTTCGTTACGACCTCAATCTGTTTACTCCGGTGGAGGTTAGTCGCCCGCTGGGGACTCAGATTGAGAGGGTTTGGAGACCTTTAGTCGAGACTGCAGACTGTTTGAGAACCTCCCGCAGTATAACTATCATTGAAATTGAACTTGGTAAATTACAATCCGGCTTAATTGCAGTCTAGGAGGAACCATATTCGGGTGACCTCTCTCAACTTGAAAACAACCATTAACTGCTTTGCTTGTTTGCTTGTTTGGACCTTCACTAAACTGTCATCGCTAAATAATAAGAACTCACAGAGTAGTCATCACACTTAGGACCCGGGTTGACATTAAAACCCAAACCCACTATACTACGCTTTAGGAGGTGGTTACACTTGGCCATTTTCTAGAGTGACAGTAGGAGCGAGTCAGTTAAATATAAATTTTTTTATACAGGATTGGAGGAAATGTATCATTATTCGAGTGGAAAATTTGGTTCCCAAATCTGAATTGGGATGTTAAATCACTTAAAACGAAGGTTAAAAAGGTGATAGGCGTAAGGCGGGCGTTGCGACTAGCTCGCATAGGCGTAGACTAAGCATGCCTAAGCGTTGTAAGAAAAATAGCTATTCGCACAACATGATGAATGAGGGAAATCTTGTCGTTGTGTTTGCTTCTGCACCGTTCACTCTCTCTACCTTTTTCTCCCACTCTGTTTCTCTCCATTTTCTGAGTTCATCTAACCAATCTCACCTAGGAAAAGCACGCCTTCTTGTTCTTGGACTCAACCCATCAACGAGTTGGCCGGCGCCCGCAGGTCCCCCTCCGAGTTTCAGATGATGATCAGCGACGTCCATACGTGGTCAGCAAGACGTTGACCAACGAGCACACGTGCAACGATGGGTTCACCGGGAAGGAGATGGCCGGAGAGGTGAAGACAGCGGTGAGAGGGAGGATCGAGAAGATTGCTCACCTCACTAGCACCACTGCAACTTCCTTATCAGTTTGGCTGGTAAGCTTTTCTCTCAACGATGGGTCTAATGGGTTCTGCTGTGAATGCCAAATTGCCAACTTGGAAATTTGAGTCCTCCATATCCATCTGCGACTGTCCTCCTTTTTATGAGAAAGGCAAATACGGTCATGTCGCCGGCTAATCTCCAATTATTTGGAACTCTTGGGTGGTCCATCTTTTGAGATTATCTTTACCGACATCGAGTGTCGAGACGATCGCTTAGAAGGCTTCTAGCTTTCATGCGTTGGCTATCACTATCTCCGGAAACCACCGTGATGATGGTGCTTGTGGGCGCCGGAGCTTAGCTCAGGCAGCGTTACTGGCTTTTTGACGGTTACAAATAATGGAGTAAATGGTCTTTATGTAGGGCTATAACTCCCTTTTATTCCATTTGACTAGTATATATGAATTAATGGAAATGTTTAATGCTTCTGGGCGAATATTTCAGCTTTCAATTCTTATTTTTAACGTTGAATGAGAGTGTCCTCTATGAATCCTCTTACTGCAGACTCATCTCCGTTACCGATTTTGAAATCCCAATTTTTTGGTGATTAAGACTAGCGCTTGGCGGCCAAGTACCGTCGTTGGAATGGGTCCCGTTGGCAGGGTCTATGGAGAATTTAATTCGCATTGACAAGTACCAGACCATGTTTGTGCTTGAGATTGCAGTAATTAATCCTATTAATTTTCAAATTAATTAGGAGAATGTATGAGTGTAGTCAATAATTATGGGGAATTGGGTTGACAATTATTTATAATTATTTCGTCGAGTTTTTTTATTCATATTTTTTTTTCACCACTTCTCAATCTGGATAGCATCATGTCCTTGTCGCTAAAACCAGTAGGCCTCCCTTATTGGCAATTGGCCTCGTCGACAAGAAGTTTTCAATGAGACGATACAAATGAGTCATTAAAGCGACCTCTTTATGGCGCTTTACGACTTTGAATAGTCTGTTTAAATTTTCATTTTGGGATGAAAAAATATCTCTTTATGATGCTTTACAACTATTAATGGTCGGTTTACATCTCATGTTTTAGATGAAAAGAATACTAAAATGTCATAATGTCATGGATCTAATTCAATGTGGGAGAGGAGTTTAAGAAACCAATTATTGAGCTTGTAACATATTTCCCCATTAATAACGTCCTAAGCCTAAGCATGGTGAACAAAAGGAACATTGAAGTGTCCTTTGAGTGGCCTGTAGGGTTTTTAATAGCCTCCCCAGTTTCGGGATGAGAGGAATATTAACAACATATTTATAGTGAGATCTTAAATGATAAGCCTAGCTCGCTGAAGCTTGTGGGACAGAGCTCGCAGCTAATAAAACCTCGGCCCCGACTGTGAATTTCAGTCTCTGGTGGCGACATGTTATGCTTTCTGAGCACCCCCAAACCCACGTTCTCCTATACGTTTGCGTGTTGTGGAGAATCTGGAAGTCTCGAAATAAGGTGGTATTTGAGCATTATCAGCCTCATGCCCAGTCTCTAGCTTGTCAATGCTTTTTCCAAGTCCGCGAAGTCTCTTCCTCTCTCCATCCGGTACCCGTCCCTCCCCTTCAGCCCTTAAGCTCCCGCCTCACCTCCTGGATCCCTTCTCCTGTTGGCTATCTAAAGATCAACTTTGATGTTGCGGTTCGTGCTTTCGGTTGCTCGTCTGGACTAGTGGTTTGTGCAACAGACGGACATGTGGCGTTGGCAGTAGGGTTCCAGCACCCAGGCATAGTTGACCCCTACCTCGCAGAACTTCTTGCAGCTCGAGACGCTATCTCCCTCTTGGTCTCCAAGTCCCTTATGTCATCATCGAAGGTGATTCGTCAGCTTCGCCAGGGCATTTCCTCAGATTCCCTCGGAGGTCCGGTGCTTCGTGATTGCTTCCAGCTTCTGTCTTCAGTTTCTGTCTTAGAGTTTAGGGCAGTTCCTAGAACTGCTAATGGGGCTTCCCAAAGAATGGCGCAGAAAGCCCTGTTACTTTCTCCTCTTGAGATCGGTTCCTTCGACTTTGTAGGGTGGCTTCACTAATGTATTGGTTTTGGAGGGTTTTGGTGTAGATTGTATAGTTTTTTCTCTCTTCACATTTCTTGAAAAAAAAACATGATGAATGAAATAATAATCTATAATACTTCCTCACTTCAATTAAAATAATTAATAACTTACTCAACACTTAATGACAAGAACATAGCTCACGAATTTATATAATCTCACAGGTCAATAGCTCACAAAGTTCTTGAGCTATTGAAAATATTGATATAGAAAATTGATTTCGTAGTTGACGTAAATTTTCTTCTTTAATATTGACTTTCTAGCTCCATCTAGCAATGTTTAAGATAGACTTATATATCGCCTTACTTCATTGACGTGTTTTCATATCTAATTAGGTGCAAAACTCCTAAACGAGGCATTTTGTCATTGTCTTGTGACTAACCCTGTATATGCATAAGGTTAAATGTGCTTTTTGAATCATGCCTAAAACTCGCACTAGCTGGTTTTGAGTTTTGACGGTTGAACCATGTTATTCCAGTCAGTTTCGATATACTAAACAGCCTGAGTATAAAATAAATTTTTTGCAAATGCTGAACGACTTCGTTTTGAGCTAGTTACTCGGAAAACGAAAATCGGAACGCAATCACTCACACCCTAATCGCATTGCACGCATCTCTTCGTCTCCAGTCTTTCTTTCTCCCTCTCTCTTAGCCCTTCCACAAGCGGCGCTCAACAGAGTTGCGAGCGGCAGCGGCCAGCGTCCACCAGTCCGCCATCGAGCAGTGAGAATGGGAGGTTCAGCTAGGAGCGACGACTCTAGTGATGAAGAAGATGCCACTTGGAAAGCTGCGATTCAATCGATTGCTTCCACCACCACTTACGGCAGCCAGGTTTCCAGCGCTTCCTCTTTCGGCAATGGCGTAGCAAAATCTCATGCTCCACGAAATGGCGACAACGAGGATGCAGAGAAACCCCGCGATCCCCAAAAGCTCAAGCACTACCAGATTAAGGTGTGGTCGCCTGTTTCGTTTGGTCAGAGCACTTGCATTGAGCATTGATGTTTTGGCTCATGATTCATTTTAAGGCGAAGGCTTATCTGTTGAAAGCGAATGAATTTGGTTTCGATGACTTTTGTTTCAGCGCAATGAGATTTAAGCTCACTGTTGCTTGTAGAAAGCTTCAGTTTTGGGTTCTGGGATGTTGTGAAATTATGGATGTCGTCCAAGGTGAGTACTACTGTTGTTCATTGTGATTAAGAAGTTGAATTCTTTTCATTGCAGGCGCAGAAGCTATTGGAACAATTACTGGAGAAGTCCCTTGATATAGTGGAAGATGGCGGGGAGGTCCCAGATGTTAAGCATGTTTCAAATGAAGGTGGTGTCCGACTGTTCAAGAACTCCCCTGTGGGCATATTGCTTGATAGTAAAGGTAAATTTGCCAGCTTCATTTCTTTTGCTTTGGCTTTTCACTTGTCTGTCATTACGAGTAACTGAATCCTTTGCTGCGTTGGTCATTATTCATTCTGTGACTGGTGTCGTTGTTATGCTGATGAGAGCCTTGAATGCTCTGATGTATTGATGCATTGAAGTTTGTGGAACATGTCCTAGAAAATAAAGTTTGCATGGCTGCTGGTACAGCTAAACTGCTTGCGCTGATGAGAATCGCAAGATGAATATGTAGAACTTGACATTGTAACTTGTCTGGGTTCGAGTATTTGGAATGTGGGAGTTATTTTTTTTTTCTTTAAGATTGTCTATGAGTGCAAATTTGTGATGCCTATGGACACAGGTTTGTTGTAGTGATTTTAGATTTGTATGTGGGACACCAGATGACATTCAGCGCCCTACGAAGAAACCAAGACTCGTTCCTCAACTTGCTATAGAAGAGAATTCGAAGAAGGTTTTTCTTCTTTTTCGGAGATTCTTGTGTTATGTATTGTTTCTATGTTGGTCTTTTTCTAAACTCTGAACGTATGTTATGAATATTTGGGGGGGTTCACAGTTCAGACGAGAAGTCAAATCCATAACTGTGGATGGAGCAGAGATAATTGCTGCGGCAAAAGACGCAGCTGAAAGATCATTAGCCAGATTGATAGCTAAAGAAGCAGCAGCTAAAGAAAAGGCCAAGAAGGAAGAGGAAAGGGTTGCTGAGCTAAAAAAGACCAGGGGAGAAAAATGGCTTCCTTCTATTGCCAAGGAAATGCAGGTAAATGAAACGGTTCCAACACTTCTTGCCCTTGTTATTTGTAAAATTGAAAATGTTTTTTAAGCCTTTGTAAATTTTTCTATCCTGTTGATTAGACCTGTACCTTTACTTGCCTGTCACACAGATGAATGGAAGCTCGAGGCGATGATTGATAGACACCGGTTTGGCCACCCTTTCAGTTTTGTTTTACTTTTGAAGACAGTTGAGGAGCTAGAAGGTTTTTGGTCTTTGCCCAAGCCATCGCAGGATTTAAGCCCTGGAAGTGGTGTTTAGTGCCTAATGAACTTGTAGGGATAGGGAATATCCTGAATGACCTAGCAGAGAGGAGATTTTCATATGCCATGTTGTATTCTCACACATGCATTGCTACATCTGTGTGGCGATTTGCTAGAAGAGAGCTTCATCATCTTCTCTTTAAGCTTCATTGGGCTTATCGGAACTGTAACATCTTGCTGCACTGTAAGGGAAGCATTCAAATCCACTGGGTTCTTAGTAAACCCGCCATCCGAACATAGGTTTGTAAGCCAAGCTGCTTGCTTGAGAGATCTAATTTTAGCTGGATGAGCTCCCTAGGATTGGTGCATATGTTCTTGGTATTGGCATCTTGTAGCTGTGACATGAAGTTCAATAACAGCAACAGGTTTTGAATTTGATTCATTAACTCCATTTCGTCATTATTATGCAATCGAGCAAGCGGAGAGAGGTAATGAATTTGTTGGCCTTGATGACATTAGATTGAATTCATAGATTGGTGGATGAATTGGTGAATTCATTGATCAAATGCTTTGGTGAATTGGCTCATGGACTCAAGTGTTGTCTGTTTTTTTTAGGATCCAAGTGTTATCTACATATTGCGCAAATATGTAAATTTTAAAATATTTAGGTATTACTGTCGTGATAAAAAAAATTAGGTACTAATTTTATACGAAACTCTGTTAGTGATGTATCAATACGAATAGATCCGCATCTATGTTTCAACAAAGCTCAACGGTGGGAGGTGTGATTAGCCACGATAGGGGAAGCTTTTCTGGGAGGTTTTGCAATGAATATAGGTGGTGGTTCGATCACTCGAGCTGAATTGCAGGGGATCCTTTAAGGTTTGCAGAGTGCATGGGACTTGGGCATTCGCAAAGCTTTATTGCAAACTTGACTCAAAGGTGGCTGTAGGCCTTCTTGTTTTGGCGTTATCGTCCCATCCTCATTTCTCTCTGGTTACGCAAATCAAACAGTTCTTGCAACGTGATTGGGAGGTTCAGGTGGAACTCATCAACAGCGAAGGTGACGTAGTAGCTGATTACCTAGCATCGGCAGGGCATGCTCTACCTATAGGGATCCACCCTATTCTGGCTCCTGACTCGCTCCTTCATTACTGGCTATTGTATGATCTTGTAGGCAGTCAAACTCCCAGATTGGTTTTTTATTAGAAGGCTGGGCGCCCTTTAGCACTCTTTTAATACAAAAAAATGTAAATTATAACAAGTACAGGTACTAAAATATAAATTTTCAACAATCAATGCATCTACCAATCCAATATGAATTAGATTTGTCATATATTTAATAAGTGTAGATGGATTGAATTGAATTGGTAGATTAGATACTAAAGTGTCACCTTTACCAATGAAGCAGCATTATCAAGCCAACCGGCAGTCAACGGTTGGGGAAAGGAGGAATATTCCTATGGAATATTGTTTGGGCAAATTTCGCTGAAACATCATGTGGTTTTGCCGCCATTCAATTGGAAAGCTTGGTGTGACCCCGGGTGAGGTAGAGGTTGAGATTGTGGTTGAATAATGTTGTGGTGCGGGCACTTAAGAAGTTGTGAAGTAAATCTTTCCTAAGTTTTGAATAATGGCTCGTCTTCCTCTTGTCTGAACATTTGGATTTCACTTCTCATCAATGTTGTCATTAAAGGTGAGATGTATCTTGCGAAGAACTTATCACACAAATCCTCCTAAGAAGTAATAGAATGATATGGATGGTTATCCAACCATTGCTTCGCCGTTCCACCTAAGGGAAAGGGAAATGCCATAGTCAAATCGCCTCTTGAGGTGCTCAGTTTACCTTGATACCATCTGTAAACTCATAAAATGCTTTGATGTGAGTATGTGTATTTTCATTCATCAACCCTTGGATTTGCACCGCATTTTGAAGTATAGTATTCATCCCCGGTTTGATCTCACAATTGTTGTTGGGGATTGTTGAGTGAAGAATAAGAGATTGCACATTCTCCACAATCGGCCTCGGGTGAGGTAGAGGTTGAGATTGAGATTGTGGTTGAGATGGTTGATGATCCTTCATCGGTTGAGTTTGAAGTCTTGCAGTTCTTCTAAGACTCGAAGGGACCTCTCAATCTCCGTATCAAGAGGTACTGTCTCAAGAGAGTCTATCCTTCGAATACAAATTTACATCAAAACAAAAACTCAAGCACCCATGATGTACAAAATGGGACAACAAAAGCAAAACAAAATAAAACAACTATATATATAAACAAAAAAGTAAGCCAAACTAACAACTTCATGATTTTGAACTAGTTATCGTGGTTTCTCGGCAACGGCGCCAAAAAGGTTGGTGTGACACCCGTATGGATTATGAAATTGATTGCACAAGTTGTATTAACTAACCCATCTTGTGTAAAGTATAATCTCAAGACGACGCTGCTAATATAGTTGTCGACGAAGGTCATATTCCATGAGTTCCGATAACCTTGGCTAATTCTCACTTTGTTGTTATCTAGTCGTTCGGGTTTCTATACCACCCTCACCCTAGATTTATGTCTATCATGTAAATGGTTTATAATGTCGGGTTTGATGTAATAAGGTGCGAAACTCACTAAAGTGGGGACTAGCTAGATAGTCATGCAACTAGCCCCCCTCTGAGCACGATTCCTTGATGCAATGTCACCTCGATTAAGTTCATGATACTAGGGATGCGTTCTAGACCCTTTCAATAGGTTCAGCATATTTGCGCACTAGCTCGACATGTAGATGGTCACGCACGCATCGCTCTAGCATTTCTTAGGAGGACCACCCAACTGGCAGGGGAGGGTCACCTTGTCCAGCAATCAATTCCCTAAATCTTTACATCCATTTGCTCCTAATTAGCTTAAGGCACTCAAATCCAGTCTAAGTCATAAACTCCTAAGTGGTAGGCTAGATGAAAAGAGTTGGAGAGACAAGCCCATGCATAAACAAATCACAGATTAAACATATAATCACTAATTAAGCAAACAAATTTCATACACAAGCCCTAACAAAATTCCATCTACAATAAAAAACCTAATTCCAGAGTTTCCTGGGGGGGAGGGGGGGGGGGTGCTAAACCCCTAGTACCTTAGAGAACAACCCCCATAAAGGGGGCAAGAAGATACATAGGAAGAATTAGAAGAAGACTTGAGGTGATGGAGAGCTCCCTTACTTGTTGGCTCCTGCTTCTTCTCTTCTTTTCTTTCCTTCACCTTCTCTCTAACATCTCTCTAAAAAACAAGATCTTTCCAAGTGATTTCAGCTTACTAACGAAGGGATAGGGATCCTCTATTTGTAGATATCAGGCTGTCGGGCAAGTTCACTGTTGGACAGGTAAACATCACCGGTGTGATATTTGGGGGAGAGACCACGATCACAGAGGTCACCGATTTACACCTTGTTGGGTGGTGAGTTCGTGGCCTGACAGCTCGGCGATCCGGGATGTCACAGGCATGAACTTTATCGCGGGCATGGACAACGAGAGTCGCGAGTCGAATATCAAAACTCTTTGGTCCTCCCTTGGTGGCTACTTTTGAAGTTCGCGCCCTTGGCTCCAGACGTTGTAGCCACGATCTCGACACTGGAGGGGACAATCTTGGTGCTCTGGTTCATGCCCTCTCTTCACGGCCGTGATCTCCTTGCTCTTGGCTATGATCTCTCTTTTTTGCCCATAATCCTACACTTGTGACCCATTTTCGTACTTAAAACATTCATATGATCTAAAACACCCTAATATGATAACATTATCTTAAAGAAACGCATTAGGGATGTATTTGATGTTATATCAACCAATGAGGCCACGAAAGGTCTCAAAATAACTCTAAATATGGAGGCTAAATAACACCATTTTGGGCGTTATCGAAGCTCCAAAAAGTAGGGTTCAGTTGAATGGTGGCAAATAGAGGTGGCAATTAAGATCCAAATCCATGAATCCAATCCATCCACCATTCCACCAAATTATCCACCTAATCCAATCCATTTGATCCACATTTTAGTACCTAAACTTTTCACAATTTACATTTTGGTCCGAGCCTTGGATGTCATTTGGATTCATGGATCAATCCACCAATCCATTTGATCCATGGATCCACCAATCCAATCCATCAACCCATGAATCTAATCTATTTGCCACCTCCATTTGCCACTCCAATTTCATCAGTTCCCGCCACCATAATCGATGGTGATGGACTCGAGATTGCCATTTGAATCGAAGTCTCCTGGCAATTGGTCTCCAAAATTGCGTGGGTGTTCTCTCTTCCCTCCAGCAAACACGTCACCGCTATCTTCGTCGATCTTGGTTCTTCTATGTTTCTTTGTATAGAATTCCCAAGTACCAGTTTTTGAAATTATTGGGATGCAAAAGCTTATCTATGTAATTATGTCGGGGGAGGCGATCGTGCCGTCGTCGTGAAGTGGAAGAGCTGGAGTCATGTATTAGGAGGTTCGGGGTGATGGTTCAATTGCGATAGATCATTATGGAAAATGGAGATGGGCTGGTAACAAGTTCAAGAAAGTGCAAAGCAGGTGATTGGACCTAGCCTAGAGTCTAGTTTGCTTAGGCATCACTTTAGCGTGCTTAGGTGTTGGAATTAAAATAATAATTTGTACCGAATGATGAATAAAATAGCATTTTACAAGACTTTCGAACTTCAATTCAGTTAACACCAAGGTTGTCAACCCGTATGTTGACCCGTTTTGACCTTGACATGGTGAGAACACACACATCGGCGGGTAGGGGTGGCTATACGGTCCGGTCCGGTTAAATTGGCCAAAATTGATCTGGTCCAGTCCGGTTTTTTTGAAAATATAAGGACCGAAGATTGGATTGGATACAGTCTGGTCTTGATCCGGTCCGGTCCCAATTCGGTCTTGATTTTATATTGAGATTGTGGGAATTTGAGTGGCCTAAGGCCTAAAAGGGTGAGGAGTTGGTTAAGTTTTGCACTAAGTGCAAAGGTTTGTGACCGTTTATGCAAATTACCCTTAAGTTTTGGGTGTTGAGCTCTTTTATCCGGTCTTTATCCAGTTTTTTACCTCAAATCTAAGCCCAAAGATTGGATTGGATTGTTTACTATCCGGTCCCGGTCCGGTTTCCGGTTTTTCATCCGGTCCCGGTCCAAATAGCCAGCCCTATCGGCGGGTCAACCCGCTGCCAGGTTACCTGGTTAAATGGTGTAGTTTTTTCCTTTGGTTTGTGAAATGCGATCCTTTTCGACTAACCCTATCTTTGCAATTGTAAGTTAAACATTTGAAAATTGAAAATATATAAGTGTGTGCGAATTATAACTATATTTTGGATCCAAGAATGACATATTATTTTGGTGTAATGCTATATGTTATTACTGATAATAGTAGATGAAACTTGATATAATTTATAAATTTATTAACAATATAATGAATTTTTTTTCCATGTATCTGGGTTAAACCGAGTTAAAATTGTCAGACCATTATACCTCAACCCACATGCTCGACCAGGCCAACTAGCTAAACCTGGTTGACAACCTTGGTTAACACTTAACAATAAGAAACATATATCACAAGTTCATGAAATCATATATCAACGACTCAAAAGTTTATTAAACTACTATAAATAGTGAGAAAAGGTTGGATTTTCATATGATGTTAAGTTCCCCTTTGATACCGTCTGTCTACCTCCATCCAAATATATGCATAGACGACACCTAAGTATTATCTTATTCTACCCTGGCGTTTTGGATTCCTAACTTGTTGTGGAACCCCTATGCGAGGTATTTTGGCGTTGCCTAGCACCTCGACACTACAAAAAAAAGGGCATATACCAAGGGTTTTATTGGCCTGTAGCAGGGGTTTTAACCCCTGCTATAAATTTTAGCAAGGGTTTGTACAACCCCTGGATCAACCCTCACCTATGCTGCCCCTGCTATTGGTAGCAAGGGTTTTGAGAAACCCACGGTGAAAGTACCATCCAAGGGTTTTAGCAAGGGTTAAAACCGCATCTATTCTTACCAAGGGGTAGAACCCCTGCTACATGGCAATTTAAAATCCAACAATGATATGTTCCTACCAAGGGTTCTAACCCCTGCTACATGCGTTGGTAAATTAGTGACGGTTAGAACCCTTGCTAGTGAATGTTATAGTTTCAATTGAATTACATTTATTCCAAGGGTTTAAACCCTTGCTTGATTGGTGGCTAATATAAAAAGAATTTGTGATGAAATCAGACCGGTCCCTAAAGAGAAATGCAGAGTTGTCACTAAAAAAAATTCAAAGCTGTCGCTAAAAAGAAATTCAAAAATGGTGGTTATAACTTGGTTGCAAATACTATAGTCACTATAAACAAACTCAGAACCTAATATTCAATAGTGACCAAATTCATACCATACAACACCATCAATGTTCCAAAATCCGTATCATGATTCATGATCCACAATATGATTCAGTTACCTTCAACATTCAAAGGCAATCCAAAGAAACATAACAGCCTACAAGAATATTACTCAAAAGAACCTACTACATGATAAACTCATGATTTAACATCCTTCATCTAAGAGCATCACGACATCAAGAAGCTCGAGAACCCAAAGATGGGGCAGTACTGGCATCCTGACATAAAGAAAAAGAATTATCAACATTTACCACTAACAAAATTGCTATAAGAAATTAAGAGACGAAAGCTGCAAAAAAGCAGAGGCAACACTTGAAAATGATGATATCAACAAGCTAGCACAACTATTGTTATTAACAAGCAGAGGCAACAATGGCTAGCAAAACATAAAAGCTATCATCTCATATCTGCCTACATGCAACAGCTAATGGTAGAAAGAGCAATTCACTAGTGTTTGATGTGATGGTAATCTATACTTAGCCTCAATAAGTTCTCCTCGCCCTTTTCTCCTTTACTACCCCATAACGAAAGTACCTCTATGTGTAACAGTGTAAGGCAACAAGCTACCATAACTAAGCTAGAATTTGCATTGACAACAAAAGGCAGCATTACTGAATATATTCATCCCCTCACCAAACTGAAGTTTGCAGAACTAAACTCACCTGTCCTAGACCTCAAAACAAACTTTTGATTTGAAGAGTCAACTTACCAGGAGAGAATAGTGCCATTTCTTGTAGCGGTAGTTCATCCACCGAAGAGGGACGAATGTGAAATAGAACAAACTATAGACGTACGAAATATCTTGCGGCCCTGAACACATTAACAAAGGAAGCAAAACAATAAACAATGAAAACCCTTAAATAGAAAACTTCGTTATTAAGTAAGTTCATTTCCATGGCTGCCCAAATTCTCGTCCTTGCAATGCTCCTCCTTCCTCCTGTGTGAAAAACATTCTTCTTCTATGCATTAGCACGGTTTACTGCACTTCTTTTCTGCACAAATAAGATTTTTACTATTATATATCTACTCTAACTCTGAACTAGCAACATAACTGAACTGGCAACATCACTAGCAAAAGGACAAGACATAGGAATAAAAGAAGAACAACCCTACAGAAAAATTGCAGCAGCAGAATCATAGGAATAAAAGAAGAACAACCCTGCAGAAAAATTGCAGCAGCAAAATAATAGAACAAATGCACCAGAACTGGTACTTTTAGTCACCCCAATTCATGGAAGCATACACAAACAACTTGGGTTCGAATTTCAACAGAATGTAGTACATGAGAGCAAGACAGAGACATAATCCTCAGTCCATAGGCAGAAAATTAATAAGAATAATCTAAAGACATAACTGAACTAAATAATTAGACAGCATTTAGCAAATAATAATTGCCCTTTAGATAAAGCAAAGATGCCCTCGCCACAGCCCACAGGCATAATCATCATTGTATCATCATCTCACCCGACACTGTAGGACGCGACAACGAAGATACGAAAACCTTATCCCAAAGTGCAGCACGTACAAACGCAACATGAACAACAAAGAGTAAGTTCTGCAACTTTTTCAAAGGATAAATAGAATGGTATTGTTACTGATAACTACTGTTCAAGCTATTAATCCATACCAGAGCAAACATTATGCCCATCCCAACTTAAACAACACCCTGGACCAAACCAAACACCAAAAGATTGCAAAGTGGAACACTAATGTTAAAGTAAATAGTTTACCACAACTATCCGCAAATACTGTTAAGACAAAAGTAAGACAGAAGGAAAAAAGGAAATTGAGGGAATAAGAGTCTCCCCTGGCATTTTGCTTAATTATTACTTCTCTTTCGTTACTGAAGAAGCAAACCATCCAAATCAGAAAGATCCACAAATCACCACCCCCCCAAATTACCTTAAGCTAATCCAATTCGGCTTATTACACAAATTCCAAAACCCTAGAATAACTTTCCAAGCTAAGTAATAAATACTACAGAATCATGCCTTGCTAAATTCTGGGTTCAATTAACGAGCGACCATCCCAAAATAATGAGTCAGTCCCCAGAATGGAAACAGAACAAGGCGATGAGAAAACTTTGTTCGTAGTCGTAGAGAATGAACTGAAGCGTAAAGTTTAAGCAAACCTGGAAGAGGTGATGACGAGACGAGGAGGAGCTGATGGCGGCGACTAGATTAGGAGGCAGCTATCCCAATTTGGGGAGAAGAAAGAGGCAACATCGGCGACGATATACGGAGCTGGCGGCGGAGCAGGATCGAGGGCGAGAGAGGTCTTGGGGGTTTAGGGGCTGGCTGGGGTTGTGACAAATCGATAAGGAAAACAGAGCAAACAGTACAGTTCACTCACGAATAGAAAAGGCAGAGGAATGGACTTACTATAGAACTTCAACTACAGCTGTATAAGATGAGCGAAACCAGCCACAAAGCTAAAACACAGGGCCATTGCATGCGACAACAAAAATGAAACCTAAAACCTATCTATATTCATGAAAAGCGCGAGAGATAACCTTATAGCCAGAACGGACAAAAACGAGGGGATGGAAGAGATCGGGTGCCGCACGGAGTGTAGAGAGGTCGGAGAGAACGAGACGTCCGAGAGATCTGGCGCCGCGCGAAGAGAACGAGACGTCGGGGAGATCTGGTGCCACGCGGAGAGAACGAGATGTCGGAGAGATCGGCGCCAGAGAACGAGATGTCGGAGACTAGCCCCACGCGGAGAAAACGAGATGCCGGAGAGATCGGCGCCGCGCGGTGAATCGCAGCTCGGAGGAACGAGACCAGTGAATCCTCGAATGTATTTTGATTTTGAACCGCTGCTCGGAGTGAACGAGAGACTGAAGAATCGCTTGGGGTGAGGGAGGGATCGGAGAACTCGAAATTTTTTTTGAATTCGTTTACTGATTTACTCGAAGGAGTGATGTGGCGGGGGTGGGCGGATCTCAGTGACAATACTGAGCTTGAAATAGAGAAGCGGAGTGATTGGAATAAGTTTTCCAGTTTGGTTATTGAAACAGAGTTGGGCGGTACCAAGGGTTTCTAAACCCTCGGTGTGAACCGCCATTAGAATATGTACCGAAAATTTTAGCAGGGGTTTGTTAAACACTTGCTACATAACCCTTGGTATAGGGACTTTTTGTTGTAGTGCGACTACTGATTGTATTTCCTTCGTCTCATCAACAGAACCACCAGGAACATATATACAAACGGATTCAACCAGGAATCCTAGTTCGGCCGAGTGCATGGCTGCATGCCTCATACGTGGGCCTCCAACTCTCTCTAACTCCTAATTATAGTCCTAAACTACTACTGGGCTGTATACATAATGGGCTAATTAGTACATAAATACATAATAAGCTATTCGAGTGTCTAACGAAATTTTTTTATTTGATAACCTAGGGAACCTCAGCTCCACATGCCGCTTGAGCGATACCGGGGCCTACTAAACCACTGGGGGTACATGCATACTAATCAGCGCTTTCTGCTACCAACAAGCCTCCGATACCAAGGGTGTCGCCGGGAACGCTCAAGTTGCGCCACTGGGAATCAAACTCAGGACCTCCCACAGAGCTCAATTGGTCCAGTGTTTTCACCACTAGGCTATGTTACCTTTGGCGAGTGTCTAACAAATTTAAGAGTTCAAAACAACTTGAAACTTTGTAGCATAAATACATAATAACGTCCACCATAAAAGCATATCATGTGTGCGGTCCCTTTGAGTACTGAACTTAACTAACTTCATATCTACATGATTCTTCTCTAAACATCGATCTCGATGAACAACCAACTTTCAAATGTGTTCCTGATACTTCTACAGATTCTTAGTGTGGGCGTTGGGTCAGTCCTACCTTCATTTGACTTGGAGAAAAAACCAACTTTATAGACACTTAAATGCATATGGTCACGTTTTAACCACACGATCTTTGTTTAACATGACATGACTTGCACTTGCTTGACAAAAGGATCACCCGCATAGCGGGAGATCCAAGCTCATGACTTTATTAACTTATTAAAGCATACTTATTCCAAAAGTAATTTGAATTTACTTGGTTAAAACATATTTATTCATGAACTATGATCATGCTATATATATTTGAATAGAAAGTTGGGCCTTTACACACAATTTGGTAATGTATCAAGAATTCATTTTATTTTAATATGAATTACAGTTTAAAATTGATTGTCAAATGAATTCATGTGTTTGGTATTGTTGACCGAAATTACCAAATCAGAATTGCTCTAAAGAAGGAAGGATGACAACCAGATACAACACAGAGTTTCATTATGGATCATTCCTCTGTTTTCAAAAGCAACGGTCGGGAATTTCTGAAGGCTATATATTTTGAAGCTCTTCGTCTAGCTAGGCACTTTTTGTAGGGACGGAACAAGGCTGCTTACAAACTGGGTTAATCAGAATAGAGGAAGAGGTTCTATTTGATTAACGGTGTAACGGGTCTGGGTTTGGGATCCGGGTTGAATACTCTCTCTTTATTTCTTTGTTTCATCTTGAGTCACGATTGTTTACCTTTTGCTTGATAGGAAAAATCAAATAAAAAAAAGATCTCCTAGACACCAGTAAAGTACTGAGTCTAGGACGAGGAGTGACCAGTATTGGGAACCTTGTTAAAATTGCATGTGTTCTTTTAAGTTCTCTGCTGTGTCCTTCTTTCTTTGCTAACTTGTTCTTCCCCTGTTTCTTTTTAGTCCCTCTGTATCTAGGAATCTTCTTCTCAAGGAAGAAGAAGACCTTCTGAGATCGATGGGCGGGCTTGACGAATTTGCGCTTAAGTGTTAACTAGTCCTTTTATTAGTTGTTAATTAGTGGGCTCGTACTGGTAGCTAAGCCTAGTTGGAGAACAAGGGATCGAGATAAAAGAAACAGATCAAAGATCTGTCTTCCCATTTACCTTGTTCCTTCGTTCTACTTCTTTTTAGTATTCGAACCCTAGTTTTTCTCCTTTCCTTTTCTTTACAATTGGTATCAGAGCAGGTCCTTGACGAAGGTATCTCCTGCCAAGGCAACGATCAAATGGCGTCATCATCCTTCGGCCAAGCGGCGTTGAATCATCCTCCAATCTTCACCGGATCAAATTATACCGCGTGAAAAAAGAGGATGAAACAATTCATGTGGGGTGTTGATGAAGATCTGTGGTTAATTGTTCAGAATGGCCTGATCGACGCAAAGGTAGAAGAGAAACATCTATGGACACCTGCACAAAAGAAGAGCGCACAGCTGAACCAACGAGCGATGCACGTACTTCAATCAGCCATGAATCCAGACGAAGAAGACCAGGTCAAAAACTGTGAAACAGCTAGAGAAATCTCGACAGCTTTGGAAAGTACATATGAAGGTACGTCAAACATTAAAGAGTATCGCATTGATTTGTTAGTTCATGAATATGAAGCCCTTGGTATGATCAATAATGAAAGCATTCATGAGATATACTCTAGGTTCACTGTGCTAATTAACAAATTAAAAGGATTAGGAAGAGCTTTCCAAACCAAAGATCTCAATAGAAAAATTCTTAGGTCTCTACCTAAAGAATGGTTGCCAAAGCGCACTACTATTGATGAAGCAAAGAATCTAGCAACCCTGCCTATAAACGAGTTAATTGGATCCTTATTGAGTCATGAACACATCATTAGACAAGTGAATCAAGATGATGATAAGCGCAAGAAATATTTGGCCTTTAAGTCTAAAGCTGTCATTCAGGATTCTGAGAGTGACTCAGAGTCTGATTTCGACAGAGAATTTGCTTTTGTTAGCAAGCGATTTCATCGCATGCTAAAGTATAAAAATGACAAAAAGTTGAGAACTGATGAATAATGAAAGCAAATGCATGATTATATTAATAGTCATTCTCAAGCTAGGCTGCCTTTTCAGCAGACCAGAAAATTTGAGACAGGTGTGCAGGAAAAGGAACCACAAGCTTGCTACAAATGTGGTAAGTTTGGACACCTTCGAGCAAATTGTCCGCTGCCATTGAAGGCCAAAGAAAGGGCAATGAAAGCCTCTTGGAGCGACTATGACTCAGAAATTGAAGAGGATTCAACTGATGAGGAAGCTTTTATGGCAATCACGGACAAATCAACTGATAAGTATAACTTCTCAGACGAAAACGAACATAAATGGTATTTAGACAGCGGTTGCTTGCATCATATGTCTGGTAAGGAAAATCTATTCTCATCTCTGATTCCTAAAGACGGCGGTAAGGTGTTATTCGGTGATAATGGGTGTGGTCATATTTTAGGAATTGGCACTATAGGAGGATTTCCTTTTCCATCATTCTGTGATGTGTTACTTGTTCAAGGTTTAAAACATAACTTCTCTCTATTAGCCAACTCCGTAGTAACGGAAATCGTGTCATTTTTAAAGCTGATACTTGTGTCGTTGAAAGGTTAAATGATAGCAAGACTCTTCTTGTGGGAAATCGAGTCAATAACATGTATGTCATAGATATGCATAATCTTGATGCTTTTCATGAAATGTGCATTGTTGCCTCATACCAACAAGAACTTCTGTGGCATCGTAAAATGGGGCATATTAGTTTGCCTAAGCTAGTGAGTTTGTCAAAGTCTGATTGTGTCAGAGGTGTTCCCTTGTTAAAACAAAAAACTGATTTTTTCTGTGATGTGTGTGTCGCTGGTAAACAAACTAAGAAATCCTTTAAATTCAAGTATGATATAACCTCTCAAAAGATTTTTGAGCTTATTCACATGGATATGTTTGGTCCATGTAATGTGACTAGCTTGGGAGGAAAAAATTACGTCCTAGTCTTATTTGATGATTTCTCTCGCTATACCTGGATTTTCTTTCAAGCTCACAAAGATGAGGCAGTTAAAAAATTCCAATTTTTTGTCAAACAATTCTCTGGTCAGATTAAGAACATAAGAAGTGATAATGGTGGTGAATTTGTTTCAGAAGAGTTTGAGAGTCTCTGCAACGATTTAGGGATAACTCACAGCTTTTCAGCCCCTCTTACTCCACAACAGAATGGAGTTGTCGAGAGGAAACATCGTACTATTATTGAATGTGCTCGTACCATGCTTCTTGAGTATAATTTGCCAAAATTCTTCTGGGCTGAAGCAGTCCGCACAGCCTGCTATATTCTGAATCGTGTGCTTATTCGAAAGGGTTTAATGAAAACTCACTATGAGATTTTCAAAAATAAAGCTTCCAACATTGCGTATTTCACCCTTTTGGATGTCCCTACTTTGTTCTCAATACAAAGGAGCATCTAGGAAAATTTGACGCCAAGTCCAATGAAGCTATCTTTCTAGGTTATTCCATTAAAGGGCATGCTTATTGGATTTATAACAAGCGTACCAAGAAGGTGGAAGAATCAATACACGTCAAATTTAATGATACTAATCCAACCTTAAAGTTTTCTGAATAGGAGATGGCATCATTTGATTTGCTGGAAATGATAAGAGAAACCATGGATGAAGATGTTGTAGCTCATAGTCCTCCAAAAGATTCAAATGATTCGCAAATTTCACAAGGTCTGGATTCACACACAGTTTCAGTTGCTCAACAATACATTGAAGACACAAGAAATGAGATGCAAACACAGCTTGCTGCCCTGGCACACATCTAAAAGCGCCATCCGGCAGAACAAATCATAGGGGATGCAAATGCTGGAATTTGTACTTGTGGAAACAGATACACTCCAGGTCAGTATGCTTATATCTCTCAAGTAGAGCCTAAAAGTTACAAAGATGCTTTAAAAGATGATGGTTGGTCAATTGCTATGGTTGAAGAGCTTAATCAATTTGAATACTTGCATGTTTGGGACTTAGTTCCTCGTCCGCTAGACACTACAGTTCTAGGTACTAAATGTGTGTTCCGAAATAAATC